TCAGTTTATAAAGACTGGATTTGCAGACATTACTGATGTGTGTATGATATCTTTGGCAATAATGCTGTCAAAGAAATAGAACTTTAGTGATATAAAGGTATTGAATAACATACGTAAGAACTGTTCACCTTCAGTGGTATTCATTTGTAGAGTGGATTTTGTATGACTGTGCAACGGCACGGCATGGTCACGGAACCTCACCTTCAAGGATTCCAAATAAAAATAAAGATTTAACAATACATCACCGCTATGGCACGGTACGGTTACAGCGCGAAAGTACCATGTTTTTTGCACAGTCATACGAAATCCGCTCTATTTGCAATTGTGTGTATAAAATACTGTAAGTTTTAATTTCAAATAATTACATACGTCTGCAATATTTTGAAGCCACTGTGAAATATGTTTAAAAGAATCTTCAGCAGTAATATCATAGACCAGCACTATTCCCTGTTGAAAAGGCAAGAAATTCCAATTCAGAGACAGATCCTGGGATGCTTTTCTTCAAAAAGTTGAGTTTTTTTCAGACCATATATTATGATCTTTTTGTGGATTACAAGCACTTTTAACAATTATTTCTGGATAAGAATACACAACAATATGCTCACCATTGCACCTCTGTAATATGCATTTGTTAGTGTACGAAATCTTTCTTGACCAGCAGTATCCCTGTAAATCAAAAGAATTAACCATCTTTGACATTGACCTATACAGTACATTTCAACTGGGATTTTCTGTTGCTTCTTTGCCTTATAATAGATTTGAGTTTGTTATGGCCTAGAAGTCCTAAGCATCAAAAATTACCCAAAATGTATCATTATATTGCTTGAGAACATCTCTGAGTAAGCACCAAAAGTTTATTGTCTAAAATCCCCCCTCCCTCCCCCTTCACTATTGGATAATTTAAGATGTTTGGCTGTAATGAATATTGAATAAACTAGTCATATCCTCAATTGCAAAAATAAATTTTACCATATTTGAAGTCTCACTCTTTTGCCATCAATATCAACAACCTTACTTCTGCAATCAATACCTAAAAAGTAATATTATAGTTAATAGTATAATTTATGAGAGCTAAAATTACAATTTATCAATTATGCTACCAAATGTAACAAAAATATTTCAATTATTGCTCATTAATTATACTATACACTTAATTCTAATGACAATTCTATTATTCATTTCTCCCAGTTAATATTTGCAACTACGAAAACGTTATTGCTGAAAAATATCCCCCTCAGTAAATGAGACACCAAATTAATAATGAATGATTTTCACATTTGTTTTGATGTGCAGTTTCGTCAAAACTCGATCAAAATCTATAGATAAGAGGGACACGAGAAGATCGCTAATACATGCATGTATGGAAATCTAAAATTCCACAATGCGGATAACTTACTTAACAAAACAAATGATTTCATAATATCAGTAACAATGTCAAGTACATATATCACATACATGCTCAGCTGACTTTAATGGAGTCATGCGGAACTTGCTCATAGCACGTAAAGAATTTAGTGTTATTAATACACAAGAAACATGTTTGAATTCCTCGATTCCTTCATAATGCTAAGCATAATATTTAGCTCAACTTTCAGAGTGAATTAGACATAAGATTCCAAATGGTAATATAAAAAATCTCACCTATCGTAGAAATGTAGCTATCAGAAAAGATGTCTTCAGTAAATCGAAAGATCAAACACGTTTTTCCAACTCCACTGTCCCCAAGAACTAGGATCTTGTAAGTGCAGTCGAAATCATTTTCTTGCGAAGAGGAAGAAGCCATTATACGTGATTATACGTTGCTTGCATGAATAATCCTTGTAGCTATGCTCGTTCTGGTCTGGGGCTGACCGGAAGTGTATGACCGCGAAAATCAAATTGTTGTGAAGGTGAGACCGGCGTTTTTCCAATAGGATTAAAATATTAATTCGTGTCTGAAATGTTTTCAAAAATATTTCAAAATTTTTAATTTTATTCCTACATTTTTCTTACTGAAGTCTAAATATTTCTAAAATAGAATTCATATAAACTTTTTACCCTCCCCTCCCACACATAAAAGAAATTACTCGGTCCAGTCTTCAATCGTTTTCGTCCTCTGCTTCACTGCATGCTGAAGCAACAAGTGCAGATATTTTGTCTTTACTTCCAAAAATGGGATTTAAAACAACAATTTTTCGCTGTTTGACGAGAACGACTACGATCTCTGCTGGCCTGTTCGCCGGTGGAGCTGCGTATATTTCTTTGGTGGAACATCCGTCAAGAMGAAAGCTTGAAACAAAACATATGTAYCTTGAATGGAAAGAAAGCCTGGCTCACGGAAAATCAATGCCATTACTCGTTCTTGTATCATCTCTCTCTGGAATAACAGCTTATCTTCTGAAGCCCAAAGGTAAAGGAATACCCTGGGTCCTTGCTGGTGGTGCAATGGCCTTGATTTTACCCTACACAGCTTTAGCTATGTGGCCCTTTGCGATAGGTCCAATCTACGATAAGCAAAGAGCTGAGAAAAAAGGGGACGAGTACAYGCGAAGGTTTATGGAAAAGTGGAACTCACTGCATACATTCCGAACGGTTGTGGGGATTGTAACTTTCAGTGGATGTGTGTATGCTCTTTCGACCAAGTGGTGAAAGGTTGGAACGGTTTAATTGGACTCTGGATTGTGGAACTCATATTAGGGCGGCTAATTATATATAAYTAATGGAACTTTAACTTGTAAAAATCTTTTAATTAAGYTAGTGGACTACTCTATTTAACAGAYACCTTATTGTTTGCTTTTATTTTCTTGTAAAAACGAGGTAAACATAGGTATTAGAGGTTAATATACTAAGGGGTATAAGATAAATAATTTATGTATAATTATTATACAGCTTGAAAAAGGACAAGAAGTGACTTAATCACGTTACGGACATGCCTTTGCTGTTACTAAAACAAAGGACTAACATCCAAAACCAATGYCAAAGYAATAATGTCAACTTTGTCATAACYTGATTCCTTCAAATACTGCAATGCTTYGATGGCAGCCAACTGACTCARCGTCAATCTGACGGGACACAGCTGAATTTTTTAGACAATCTGRCCCTAGAGTTAGGGTTTATGCCATTAATATAATGATATTTTTGTATGCATTTAGCTTAAAGCATGTCCTCTTTTCTTGGAAATTTTTGTATTCTTTATAAAGTCAGTGATTTTTAATTGTATAATCTCAACGGTGGTTTTCTGACAGCAAATATTATTGGTCTGTAAGTCTTTTAGCCTGTACCAGGTGTATAATATGATACTTCAATTAATTATTTTTTGACATGTGCATAATATGATTCAATTAATTATTTTTTGACATCAATAAAATTTGCCATATAAATATTGCTTGCTACCATAAGTCGTTAGCTACCCAGACTAAACTGTCACCTTAAAAATCAAGAGGTAGGCACTCTTTCCCTGTCCCTCTGTTTACAGGATTGTGATAAGCAAACCTGCATATACAGCTATTTCAAAAAATGTTGACAGGGAGAACGGCGATTGTCGAAGGGAGATTGCATGACCGAAAGGAACTGTTTTGATAAACAAAATTTCACTTATTGGATTCACGTTACATAGAAATGGAGAATAAATGGAGCCAATGTTTACCACAGACCATCTTACAGTACAGTTGTTATTGCCTTTCAACTTAGAGCAAAACCTATGGCTACTTTCAGTCGTGCAATTGCAGTTCGACCATTGACCTTTGCCATGCATCTGACAACCTTTCTTGAAATAGCTATATGTGCAGGGCTGAAATCTTGAGGTTGTTTAGTGAGGATATGAGTGTTACAACACGAACAATAAACTAATGGTTTTAATTTTTATTATACTGGACTCGATTCCTATCTTACATATATAATGCACACTTTGACACCACATTAAAAACGAAGAATATCAAAAAATTGTTTCTATACAACGGTATAATAGTTCAGTCATAACATTCCACAGTTCACTTTCCAAGCAGTCCAAGTTCCACCCTTCTCTTCAGTGATACATCAAGCAATACAAGCCGTAGAGAAAGCCACTAACATCGACAACGGTTCTGAGTGTGTGGAAGAAGGCCCACGAATCAATCGTATCCCTGAGCTGTTTTTCGGAATATTTCTTCGACACGGTGTCATAATCACCTTGAATTGGCTTGACGTAATTGGGGATCAAGAACAGGAACGAGTAAGGCACGTTGACGAARTACAAACCAGCAACAATGGCRCACGGAAGGCCTTCTTTGGGGTTTATGTAGTAAGCAAGCAGCCCTCCACCCATTGGGAATATTGAACCGATAGCCATGTAGCGAGCAGCAAGGTCAAAACTGCTTGAAAACTGCTTATGCGCCGATTCAGTGTCCTGGATGCTCATGCGAGCTGGATGTTCGATCAGAGAGATGTACATAGCCGCCCCTCCCATAAGTCCAGTGAAAGCGGTTTGACAGAATCTCAGGGCTCGAAATGCTTGATCGGCATCCATGTTGCTTTTCTTGCTTGTTTCTTTTCTAGCTGAAGATTTCGAGGGCACACCTAAATCCTATCGTTTTCAATGATAGCTGAGATTAAGGCACCGAAGGACAAACAACTTACTTACAAAGGATCCTATTGGTCTGTTATCATTGTTCAAAAGATTTAATTAAAAATCTACCTGCTCACGCGAATGCGCATGTTTGCGGCCTCTCACGAAAGCACAGGAATAAAAAACAATTAGTTCTTATTAGTTTTTTACCTATTTCTGCCTCATCTGTCTCTCTTTCAAGTTCTTTTAACCTCGAAGTTCTTTAGATATCCAGTCAGTTTATCCAGTCCTAAACATTCGAATTTTGGGATCCCTGTGTATGATTTTGCTACCAGGCATTCCTGGATGTTACCCCTGACTTAGATTTGTGTTCCCCCCAAATACTTCGTACCACGTGTCTTTCGTTCTCTTTCGCCGGCCATCTTGAACGAACCATAAAATGGTACGTAAGTCTTCAAATCTCGACAAATTTCTTGCAAATTCTGCCTTTAAAAAGACTTGGAAATAAATGAAACTCATAAAGTAATAGATAAACTTTATAAAAATTTTGATTTTTAGTAATTTTATTTTCAAATAAAGCTATATTTTTAGATTTTATTTGGTCGATGAGATATATAATATTGAAGTCTTGTGAAATATCTTACGTTAACTTTTGTTGGTCGTTTGAGAATTGACGAGATATTYGCTCACGATTGAAGTATAATTTTGGGGAGGTTTCTTAGTTTACTTAGTACCATGGATGTGAAAATGGTTGTCTTTTATAATAGGTTAAGTCAACTTTAGTTTTGGTTTTGTCTGCCTCGTCACCATAATTACTGGGACCATTTTATCTCATATATTTGTTAACGCTAGATATCTCACCTATAAAAGTTCAACATATATATAATAAGGATAACATTATTGAATGCTTGTTGCTGTGCTAGGAAGATCAATGATGGTTTAGCTGGAGAGATGCAGTGTTTTAATAATTTAGTATTAACTTCATGTGTAACTATATACAATCTTTTGATTCCTCTACAGGCAGCACGCCCTGTCGTGTCGATCTTTAATGAAAATGGCGAGTGTTGTGGCCAGACCACCCTCCCAGCCGTACTCAAGGCGCCAATCAGGCCAGATGTTGTGACATTYGTCCACTCTGACATGTCCAAGAACAAGCGYCAGCCTTATTCYGTTAACAAATTRGCAGGCCATCAAACTTCTGCCGAGTCTTGGGGTACTGGTCGTGCTGTTGCTAGGATACCCCGTGTTAGGGGAGGTGGTACCCATCGCTCTGGTCAGGGTGCCTTTGGAAATGTATCCTTAAATAATCGGGTTTCAATTGATTTGAAATTGTCAAATACCTGGAAATGTAGTGATATTGTTCCTTGGTACCCTTTACAATTTTTGGATCTTTCTCAAATTTATGGCAAATATGCATTGGATAATTACAAATATACATGGTTTGATTGACAAGTTTCCTTTGACTGACAGTTACTTATTGTATTTCCACTGTGAATCGTTTCATAGGAAACCAGTAAAATTTGATAAGCCTTCAATAAGCATAATGGGAGTGTATTGTAGTACAAAAATGTCATATCACGAATAATTCAAGATGTCTGCAAACTTTATAATCTCAATATTACATTATCATTTTCCTTAACTTGGTGGAAATAGATGTGCCGTGGAGGACGCATGTTTGCACCAACTAAAACCTGGCGTAGGTGGCATCGCAAGATCAATGTCAACCAGCGTCGCTTTGCAACCTGCTCTGCCTTGGCTGCCTCTGCTATTCCAGCGCTTGTCATGTCTCGTGGTCACCGTATTGAGAACATTGATGAAGTTCCATTGGTTGTGTCAGATTCCATGGAATCTTGTACCAAGACTAGCGGAGCAGTGAAGCTGTTGAAGGCCATCCATGCCTATGAAGATGTAGAGAAATGTAAAGATTCCAAAAAAATCCGTGCTGGCAAGGTGAATTAAATTTTGCATTTACCTTGAATTCTGTAAAGCTGTGATCACTTGTGGAATTTTCAAAAAAAATTTGAACTGTTTGAGAAAGGAAAATGCCATTAATAATCATTTTGAATCAAATTAACAAGTAAAAGTATTATCACAAAAAATCTAGCAATTGGTCATCAATATTGATTATTATATCTCATATTATTATTAACTGAATTTTCCAGGGCAAACTGAGAAATCGCCGTACCACAATGCGCAAAGGACCCCTYGTTATCTACAAYCAAGATCAGGGTATTCGTCAGGCATTCAGAAACCTTCCAGGTGTCGACCTTCTTCAAGTGGACCGACTGAATCTCCTCAAGTTGTGCCCTGGTGGTCACGTTGGAAGGTATTCCACAGCAGTTGATTTTATAGTTGCCTTCAGAATTTGAAATCAAGAAGTTTATTTAAATGTCACTACAACTGACTGACAAGAATAGTCAGAAATCAGTATATTTGTTGAATTTTAGAAAAATTTGTTGAAAATTTGGTACATACAGTACCATTAGTTACCAGTTTACAGGGACATTTCTTCTCAATTTGATTATTTTTTTGAGCTTCTTGATAAAACATACAAATTATAATCTGATTAACACATGAGTGATGGGGATTTACAAATAGTTTAGTTCAGATGTCAATCTTTTGTTGCATTTAATCTAATTGCTAGCGTTTAGCTCAGGAGCAAGGTTGTGTTCTGAATAGGCCATTTGCATTATGGCGTAACTTTACTACAACTACCAGATAGCCTTGCGCATTTTCATTGTTATTCAGATTTTTAATCCCATTGGAGATTAATAAAACAATTGGCACTAATTGCATTACAAAAGAAAGTTGGCAAAGCATTCTGGTAGTTGTAGTAAATGACGCCATAATGCAAATCGGCTATTGATTCACTTTGGTGGACTTCACTCAATTTAATATATGTATAAGTTCTCATGAGGCGTTTAGCTTAGGAGCAAGGTTGTATTCTGAATTAATTCACTTTGGTGGACTTCACTCAATTTAATATATGTATAAGTTCTCATGAGGTAAATTCAAGCAATTAGATTTGATGCAGCAAAGGTTTGGTGCCAGGTGTAAATGATGCAYATTTTGCCACGGTCCAGTGTGATATGATTCTCAGTTGAAACAGGTTTAACGTCTATTTATTGTACAGGTTTATTGTGTGGTCTCAAGGAGCCTTCGAGAAACTCGACAGTCTTTATGGAACATGGAAGAAAGCATCAACAGAAAAAAGCAATTACAAGTAAGCACTTCCTTTTTGGTGAAGTTTGATAGTGATGTTAATAATGTTTACAACATGAGCGGCCGTGTTGTATGGGATTTTACAATCTTGAGCCGAAGGTGAGAGATTGTAAAGCCCATGCGACACGGACGCGAATGTTGTAAACTTACTTTCAACACTCCTCATGGTTGTGATTTCTATTGTATTTTCCTCATTAATTATTCAAGAGGTTTACAAATTATGGCAAGTACATCTGTCCATATTTTTGTATTATGTGTGATAATAAGATTCCACGCTTAGTAGTTTATATTCATTTGTATCAGCTTCTGTGAAAGCTTTTTGCTGTTATATTGTATTTTTGGGTACTGTTTGACATTGTAGTTAATATTGACTTGTTTTTCTACAGCCTTCCACGTCCTATGATGGCCAACTCTGATCTCAACAGGCTCATCAACAGCGATGAAATTCAATCAGTTGTCAGACCAGCCAAGTGAGTGTTTGTTTTATTGTGACGTATATCATTGACAAGCTTTTTTTTCCACCATAGAACTCACTTCACACTAGCCATGATTCATAGTTTTCTCACAGTTTGTGAGGGCAACATACAGTAACAGTTAAACTCAGTACTTGCTGTCACTGCTATGGTCTTGATCATTTGATTATCATAGTTATGTGAAATAGAATTTGTGTTGTTTCCTCCTCTGTATATTTGGTACTCCAGTTTTCTTACCGCGGACTCGAATGGTCCGAAAAAAGGGGAAGAAAAAGACACTAAAAACACCTTGGTCCCCTGGGTACAACTTCATTCCACATCTAATCAAAGGTTTCAAGGTGTAATATATGATCAATTGATTAATGTGCTTTTGTTTCTAGGCTTAAAACAAAGCGTACTGGACTGAAAAAGAATCCTCTAAAGAACCTTGGAGTGATGCTCAGGCTCAATCCTCATGCAAAGAGTACCAAACGAGCAGAAATGCTTACAGTGGAGCGTAGGAAGGCCGCTAAAGCAGACTTGCTTGCAAAGAAGAGAGGCACCAAGTAAATTAGGGCTTCCAATGCATTGAAATTAAAGATGTATGCAAAGTGACCAGCGTTTGCTTGTTATTTCTCTCTTTTCTTTGTCATTTCCCGTCTGCATTTTTATTCCTACCTTTTCAGCCCATTCTCCCACTATACAGGGCTATGATGAACACTAGCCTGATAACTTCGTTATCCCTGAAGGGCTTGGGACCTGGTTATCTAGAAATTTTATGGGTATACAAAAACATAAAGATTTGGGTTTCAAATTCTAGATTTTAATTTAACAGGTCTTGGCACATCTTGAAAAGAAATCGTCTCTGCTCACTTGAACGATTCGACTATTACATGTTAATCACGGAGAACAGTGGCCGATAGGCCTGTAGGCATATCTGTTGGGACATAAGCTTAGTGGTTGGTTCGGGATCTCTTACTTTAAAAACTTTATCACAGTCTTTTTTTTAGGTAGCTGTGTGTGTAAATGCGTCCGCATTACTGCAGTCAGGTCCTGCGCCAAAAATGCAAAAGCAATCGGCATGCAGTCGGCCATTAGATATCACCATCCCAATCAGAACCAGTCATAAAGAAATCAATCCCTAGCGACTCCAAGTCAACACCATGGCCAACAAGGCTGTTTTTTCTGCTCTGTATTCTCGCGAAGTATTCTGCCGCAAACTCGGTAATGTCCTCGGGTTGCTCTTTGATAACTGTTAGGACGAATCCCTCTAGTAAGTCAGCGAGTCCTGTGGGGATTTCTCTTTGAATAGTGGACATTTTTCGTACACAAGTTCACAAAGGTTTTGCGCTTCGCACGTTCGTTAGTTTGACTGCTTGATCGTTTATGACGTGGCTAATTGTCATCTTGATCGCGCGCGCTGTTTGAAAGTGTTGGAGTACGCGCACCCAGCGATGAAATGAAATTTGCGCGYGCRAAATTATTCAGCGAARTCGCGGAAAAATAATCATCGTTGTAGATTTACCTGATCGTTGCTTTGGTTCATCGAGCTCGGATTTATTATCTCTATGATTTTTCTATGTGTACTTGCAGTTCTACTTATCTCTGGTGCATGGCATCGTAGCCTGCGTGGCGGCTCTAGGGGAGGGGGGAGGGAGAAAACGGAAGGGGAGGGGGTGGGGAGGCGGAAAAATAACCCATTGAAGAATTATTTATCCTCTCTATCAACTATACTTTGACGATATGGCACCCCCTCCCCTTCCGTTTTCCCCCTCCCCCTTCCCCTAGAGCCGCCACGCAGGCTAATGGCATCGAGCTACTTGCTCTATAATCAGCAAGCCTCGACGCGACCTAAATTACTTCAAGAGTTTATCGAAGCGATCTTGCATCGTCTTCCCTTCTTTCAACATGCATTTTTTCAATCTTTACTCTTTCACTTCAAAACTCAGTTTTGAGGTTCTTGCTTTCAATAGAGACATGCCGGTTCACAACGAAATWGGATATTGTTTAGAAATATTACACTTAAACACGCGAAGCTGTGCATATTTGGTAACGTAATACACCGTTTATTCAGTGTTCTGTTTACACAAATCGTCGCTTCACAATTTTAGCGTCAAAACTCCATTCCAAATTCCATTACTGGCTCTTCAAGAAATGAAGACGATTATTTCAATTGTCCTTTGCATATTGACCGTAATACATGTTGGTAAGTTCTTTGATTCGGCTTTTATTCAGTGTGTGAGTTTTGGGCGATGGATTTTTGTGGGTGTCAATATCTATGTAATATCTTATAATCCTAGTGGTTGGATAAAATTAAGAGTCTCAGGACTTTTATATTTTTGCTTTAAGTTAGTCTTAAGTACCGACATTCCTCAAGCGAACGACAATAATTCTACTGAAATAATTCAGTCAAATATATGCCGAAAAGAAAACTAACTTTTTAATGTGTTTTGAAGGTATCATGCCTSCAACCGAAATAATGACATAATGCACTTGAAAATAACCTTTGGTTGTGTCCTGCACGATTAAAATATTTACTTATTTCAATGCATTTCTGTGTTTTTAATATATTTTGTTTTGAAACAAAAGTTCAGTCAGTAATAATAATCGCGCTTGAAGTATTTACACGTTCAAGAAGGGTCATGCCATCGGCGAACTGTTCCAATCGGTCACTAAATAACCCAGATGATTCTCATACCAATCGGTAGTCAGTAATGTAAAACAAACGTTGACACACAGGTAGCCCAAGCTCTACTCTGAAGGCAAAAAATCGAAAAAAGTTTTAACGAAATTATTTGAACTTACATACAAGTTTTTCTTGCGTTTTATATACCTGGTGTGTATTTTTTTTAGATTTTACCTTGTTATGGCCCCTAGTTAATATAAGTGACTTATATCAACTAGGGGCCTTAACAAGCTAAACTCTAAAAAAAATACACACCAGGTATATAAAACGCAAGAAAAACATGTATGTAAGTTCAAATAATTTCGTTAAAACTTTTTTCAATTTTTTGCCTTCAGAGTAGAGCTTGGGCTACCTGTGGTTGACATTCGCTACGCTCACTCGTGACAGATCTTTTCAACACTCGAAGATAAAATCCATATCACCGCGCGCTCATGTAATATCCTCTATTTATTGTATTCGTATCTTTTTAACGAGATAAGAAACGAATTGTGCATTACGTCATCGAGTAGGCAGGATCCTGTACTCTTACATGAGACAGGGTGCCCCTAGTGGTATAGGGCCAAAATCCTTTGTTTTAAATCCTCCAGGGAAAAGAAAACAAAAGAGTTTGCCCTACAACGTAGGGGCACCCTATCTCATACGTAAACAGGGTCTTAAATGGTCGAAATGATGTACAGCATAACCGCTGCATAAAAACGATGATTTTAGCGCATATAAATTGAGTACAAAAGTTGATAGAACTAAGACAACATTTGTCGCAAAGTTTTGGAGTAGAGTCATGCTAATCATGTTCACGCCCAGAAGTACAGAAGTACTTTCGATTCGCCCCAACTGAGAAACATGCATTCTTGTCCTTTTGTGATATCCTTCGTATGCTAGTTGTGGATCTGGTAGTATGTTATTATTCACCAGTAATGCATCTATATATGATTTGTTGTTTTTCTTTACAAGCGTCAAGCTTAACGTGCTACAAGTGTGAGAGCACAATTTCTTACGCCGACTGTGAATCGAGACAAGAACAAGTTGCGTGCGATAAAGACGAGGACACGTGCATCAAGGGAGACATCAGTTACCAGGTAAGCTTAACTTTTAAAGGCCCAGTGTGCACCATTATGCTTTGCGCGCCTCTGTTATTATTATGATTTACACCAAAATACTATCTAGTATCCAAATATCACCATAAAAGGAATGTCCAATGGTTGAAAACTCTAATATTAGCGTTGAAAGTGCTTAGAAAAGTGAGATAGTTTCGAAACACACAGTAAAGTTCAGTAGACTTTCGGTAAACTGAAAACCGCCAAGCCCTCGCGGCCCCCAAAGCATAATGGTGCATACTGGACCTTTAAACTCAGTTTTCTCCTTTTTTTGCCGCTGCCATTTTCAATTGTACATGTAGTAACCTGATCCAGCGCCGGATTCGCATGGGCGTTTGAATATTCAACTTTACAGTTCCCTGGCTCCATCTTGAAAGTGTGTGAGTTTTAGTGAGTCTTAGATTATTAATTGGTCTGAAACAAAACCATAATTGCTAGTTTTTTAGGAATACAAACAAACAACAACAACACAAATTTGTCAAATTTCAACCTAAAAGCATTTGTCTTGATTGCCGGTCTTGATGCGAATTATATAGTTTTAATTCGAGGTGACTGTCCCTCTGTCAAACCAACTATATGTACGTACTAATAGAGTTGATCAACTTTATTCTTAGCTTCACAGCCAAGATCACAAATCCTTTCGGAAATACTGTGCTGYAAGCTCGAAATGCGACAAGGAACAAAATCCTCAATGCAAGACCGCTGCATTGGGAGAAAACATCGAATGCAACATCCACTGTTGTTCTCTGAATCTCTGCAATGCAGGCTCAAGCGTTATTGTCAGCGGTGTAGTAATGGTAGCAGCATTCATTGTTATGGCATTGTTTTAATTGTGAGAGGAATTTTTAAGTAGATAAAGTGATTGCTGGACTATAGTAATACTCAGTATTTGGTATGGTTCTAAATTGCTTTTGTCAGTTTTTATATACCCACTGAAAGAAAAGAAGGACCTATTGGTATTTAGAAGAAAATTGTACATTTTTAGTAGATATTGATGATATTCAATAAACTATAAATATTGTAATTAAGGAAAGAAAATATTCTTCATTTTTTGCTCRACCCAGGCACTGTTCACACCTACTGCCCGAGCACGGTACTCGCGATATGTGCCTGGGCATCGTATTTGATAATTCCCTTCTTCGATCAGTTTTTCTTTCTGTATTCATTCAGTCCTCACTGCCCTCCTCGTATTACTTCTTGTTTTACATCTATCTTCGTCATCTATCTTAAGCGAAGGAGAAGTCCTTTTCCTTCCAGCTCTTCTGCTCTTCTTTAGTAGATATTGATGATGTTCAATAAACTATAAATATTAGTGCTTTGTGATTAAGGAAAGAAAATATTCTTCATTTCTTGCTCGACCCAGGCACTGTTCACACCTACTGCCCGAGCACGGTACTCGCGATATGTGCCTGGGCACCGTATTTGATAATTCCCTTCCTCGATCAGTTTTTCTGTCTGTATTCATTCAGTCCTCACTGCACTCCTCGTATTACTTCTTGTTTTACATCTATCTTCATCATCTATCTTAAGCGAAGGAGAAKTCCTTTTCCTTCCAGCTCTTCTGCTTCTTCCTCAAGTCCACAGACTCCAAAGAAATCATACTGCCGGAAACTGTYAGACAAAGGGKTGGRGAGCTTGAAAGCCCTATCCCGTCCCTACTTCCCAAAAKCTCGCGCCACGCAGGCTACGAAACTGTACCCGAACATTCATCGTCCTCATTTTCTCAAACTTCCCCGCATATATGAAAGCATACAAAACTATAGTTAATACCACTTTCAAAACCCAATTGTCACGAAATAGCGTGTAATCTACTTAATATGAAATACTTTTCTAAAGACAATGAAATCTGGCCTTATTTAGAAAACAAACTAAGCTTTTATTTTGATCCCTAACTAATCACTAAGAATCCAAGCTGTTACATCAATATTTCCTCAGAAAAGAATTCGTTTTTACGGCGATTACTTTACTTGAATGGCATCTAGTGAAGCACATCGTTCCAAACAACACCCATACAATTGGAAAGCTTATTCGTCAGAAACGTCGCCTAGCAACCAGCTATGCACAAAAAGAACCATTTCTAACTAAGTGAGTTTGATTTATACTAATAATCCTACCCGTGGCTTCCAGTGACGTTGTTTTCACTACGGACATATCGATAAGACGCACGAAACAACCTCAAATCTTACTTCGACAGTGAGTATTTTTTTAGAAATGATTGCTGAACTTTGATTGAATGAGTTTATTTAAAACACGTTTCTTTGTGTTTTACTCGTAAATTGTGTTTGTCCATCACGGCACATGTGACTTTAAGGTTGATATTCACAACTACGACAAATTATCATTATCGCATTGGAAATAAGGCTATAGCTAAAATAACACCTAATTACATAAACATAGTCTAATGGAGTTTCTCTGTGTCCTAAAGTTTGTGTTTAATGATGTATAAAGTATTATAATTAAGCGTAATTATTAATTTGGCCAAAATACTTTTGACCGAATCAAATACTTGTTTCTGCCTATCATGGTCCAAAGCTACCGTCATAAACCATGTTTATTTTTGAGATATTAACCTAAGTTGTAAAATCAATAAAACTATATCAGGGACGGTGATCTAAGATACGAAAACCTATTCGAACGTAAAAAGTTTACAGTAACAGAGAATTGATATTGGCACAGATAGCGAATCTGAAAGTTTGTTTTAAGAATCAAGGTTCCTGAAGAATTTAAAACTATTGAGCTTGAAAGTCACTTCAATTCCTTTAAAATTGTGCTATGTCACTTATAGGATCTAATTGACTCTATAGACGAAAAGTTCTAATATACACAAACAACTACAAAAGCCATAGTCAACAAATAATATTTTGAGTTGTCGCAACGGGGTTTAACATTGATCACAGTCATAATACACGAGCTAGCATGCAAACTTACATGATGAAGTAACGTTATTGAATATATAGTCGTTTAGACTATAACTTGCGTCTACTAATGCATCCACATAGTTCCTTTAGATCGTGCAATCTTTTTGTATTCAGTATTTTCTTCGATAATCGTTTTAAAAATAGTTGTATATAGTTTCTTTTTCACAGCGCCGACTTATATTYATTCACAGCTTGAGCAACAATATAATACTGAAGACTTGATATTGTATTCATATAGTATAAAGGAGCTCTACTTATAATCAAATCAAGTTGTCTTTTAATCGATTTTCTGATCAATTTTGTGTTGACGGAAAGTGAAGACGCATGGTGCAACTGTATTACATTTACAAACGAAAATCGCTCTGTTATCTTGAGTGCATTTGAGTCAAAACCAGATAATTACTTTAAAATTAAGAGGTCCGAGGATTTTCTGGGTGTAATTTTCAAGGACACTGAAGAAAAACGAACAAAATAATGAAATTAAAAAGTTAATCACATTAACCAAAGTTAAACCACACTAAACCATGGATTAAAATCAACTTTTAGACTATAATTTGGAGATCATAAAAGTGAATTTATATACAGCCAGCGTGTGCCAAACACATTTTTTTGCAATTTAGGCTGTTTATTTATCACCGTGGAAAAATGAAACAATAGGAATCGAGCTTTTCGATTTTTTCCTCTTATTTTTCTCTTCCTCTACGATTCGCAAATACAAATTACTGTTTTTTTGCTGCGCGATATATATAAGGAGTGCGGAAGCGGGAAATTAAAGCTAAAGATAATTCACAATCATTATATAAAGCCATCAAGCTTTGAATTTATTTAATTTCGAATTGAATAATTAGATTCGAAAAAAAAACCCTAAAGGGTTTAGTTGGCAATGCCACTTTTAAATGCTGCACTTTAGAATTCGCAGATACGCTAAGGTAAAACCACTGGAGTGTATATAGGTATAGTATATTAACCCTGTGTGTGCAAGTTCTGGATATGAGGCGATCAAATACTTTATATTCTCGTATCCTATGAATAGAAATTACATATATATTTTTAGCTTTTTTTTAGAAAAATAACCCATTGAAGAATTATTGATCCTCTCTATCAACTATACTTTGACGATATGGCAGCCATTTTGGTTAGGGGTAGATTTAATAAAGTTTTTTTTCTGTAATGGCGCTGATTTTCATTAAGCTCATAATGGAGACATTGTTGAAAAAGACTGAAATGTTTGTAACCTGACATTTTTTCCATACATATATCATGATCATAACACCGAAAGGCATTATGGAGTAATCGGAGTATGCAAGGACAAAGCAACTGAACAAAAATCATAGTTTATCAAGAGCGCTTCCTGTTTTTTAAAATAACTAAAACAACTTTTATTTCAGAATATTGATATCCTTACAAAGCATTCATTTCAAATGATGATTTGCCACTATCAAGATGAATGACAGCAGTAGTTCCCTCGCCCAAGTGCATTCAAAGGGTTTACCGGAAGTTGAAGAAGAAACACCGACGGATGACGTCATACAAGTCCCAGGCCTAATTACAGATGAATCGACAAAAAKCGCTGGACGTAAAAGTGGGCAAAGAATTAAATCAAGTATGACATGGATAGAATGAAAAAATTACCTAATCAATGAAAATATACATAGACTCCCTATGCCGATTAAGATCATATTCATTTTCTGTAYATTGAAGGCTTTTAACTAAGATATTAGGTACTAAGTTTGTAGATTCATTGTAAATTTCTTTTTTGAACGTYAAGGTAAATCAAACCGAGCAGCTACTGGTCGTAGCAAGTTGTCCAGGGCTGCTACACCCGCTGGGGWGAGATTTGCTGAAGCTAACAGCTCTGGCGAAGAGTCTGTTCTTGACAGCGACTACGATACAGACTTGGAGATAGAGGAACTACGTGAAGAGTTTGATCCCACAGGCCGCAAAGCGTACAAGGATGCCTGCAAACAWCTAGGAATAGTACCAGTCTCCTTTGTCCTTGAACACATAACTGACGAAGCTTTGGATATCAAACACCATGGACTAGGACCTAGTGGAGCTAAAGCGGTTGCAATAGCTTTAATGAACAATACGACGACCACAAAGGTTAATCTCTGCGACTGCGCGATCGGTAAATATCGACAATTTGGTATTTTATCCCACATGTTAGATGTGAAGTGACGGTAGATTCAGCGTTTGTTTGTTGACTTCTCTCCAGGTCCCGAGGGCGGTGAAAACATTGCAAAACTACTCAAAGAGAACTTCTACGTGACGGAAATCGATGTGTCACACAATAAAGTCCAAACACAAGGCTGCATTGCGTTCTGCGAGGCTCTTAATGAAAACACTATCGTCCAATCACTCAGTCTTGGGTGGAGTGAATTAAAARATAAAGATGCGGTTCCATTGTCTGATATGATGAAAAATAACCGCGCCCTAAAAACACTCGATTTGAGTGGGAATGGGTTTGAAGAAGAAGCAGGGCTTCATTTTGGTAAGTGAAATGTGAAACAACAATAATAACAACAATAACAACAATAATAATAAAAACAACAACAATAATAACACAACAGCAACAACAACAACAACAGCAACAACAACAACAACAACAACAACAACAGCAGCAGCAACAACAATAACAACAGCAACAACAACAACAACAACAGCAACAACAACAACAACAACAAAAATAACAACAGGAAGGGATTGGGAGGTAGATTAACAGCTTAAGTTTAATTACTTTAAATTCCTTTCACATAGGTCCTTCAATAGATGCCAACGACACACTCGAGTCCCTAAACCTCAGTTGGAACCATCTGCGAGGAAAAGGTGCAATATCAATTGGCAAAGGACTGAGAGCCAACGTTAGTCTCAAGTTTTTGGACCTGTCGTGGAATGGGTTCGCCGACGACGGAGCTGCAGCAGTTGGGGAATCTCTTCGAGAAAATAACACCTTGGTTGAGCTTGACATTAGTAATAACAGGATATCTACTAAGGGTGCTTTGCGGTTATCAGAAGGACTTAAAATTAATAACACATTAAAAATACTAAGGTACTACACAGTGTATATATGATCAACAGTGCTATCGTATGATAGGCGTCTTAAAATGAAAT